TATGGCAGACTTCCTCCAAGTGCACAGACTAAAACAAAAGAGGRCCATTGCACAGCTTAATCATTAAAAATAAAGGACTTTACTTTAAAAAGTATTTGTATTTCATGTATTATGTAACTGCATTTGGCCCGCAGCCATGGATAGATTTTCATTTTGGCCCGCTCAGGGAAAATGTTTGGGCGCCCCTGTTTTAGATTTACAGTATCTGTAGTCCTTCCTCATCTCGATTGAGACACTTTGATTTGAAATGTCAGGTCTAAAAGTCATTGGACAGTAATTACCACAAAGACGGACCATGGACGTAAAGCAGTCTTCATGATACAGTAGTTGAAACAAGCAGTWAGCTAATGTCCCCCGTCGCTGTAAAGTTTGACTAGTACATGTCTAAAGTGTTTGAGCTGAGTGTTTTATTTTTTTGGTGCAAGATATTCAGGTGAGTAGTAGATAAACCGTGTGTAAGAACACAGTAGGTTTTGGGTTTCTTGTCTCAGGCAGTGCAGAGGGAAAGATCCTGGTGATTRGAGGGAGTAATTTTACCCACCACCAGGTGCAGTGGAGCCAGGGAGGTGGGCAATGATGGCCCTGGCCTTGACCAGCATAGATTAATCTTCAGCCATCCCAGTCATTTGAGGAAACTATACTAGAATGCATAGTTTAGGCAAATTTGGCTGATTTAACTTTAAAGACTATGCGGCGGCTGGCAGCCATCGTGGATTTGGACGTGTCACACACTAAAACAGAAAGCAGTACTACATTTATTTTTCTAATGGCATTTTTAATTTTTAAAGCCTGGCCTGGGTTCAAACACAGGTTCTGCACATTTGCTTTAGTCTTTATGGCACACTTCCAGACTGATTTCTAGAACCCATGGACCTGGGTTCTATTCATGCTGAGCTTCTGGGCCTGATTTGATGTTGGCCATTGATTGATTCACTGGCCCAGTCGTACGTGCATTTTCAAATATCTGTAAACAAGCTAACATTAGAGTTGCAGAACTAATACAAATTTATTAGGTGTAATATTACAGACCCAATAATTGTTATGAGATTGAACATTTGTCACCCATCACATCGAAATGAGGAAAAACAGTGGTTTATGGAGAAATAGGCAAATGTAGAGTTTTGATTAAAACATTTGCAAAAAGTGAATTTTGTCAAAACATAATGAATAAAAGCCTTACCAATGTATCATTTGAATGAACTGTCTGAAATACAATCATAAAAGAAATTTCTGAAGCATTTTTTTGAGCAGTAGCAACAAAAACACTGATTTTGAGGAAAAACGCTTTAAACTTTTGAGATTTTTCCCTGTGGGATAGAAATGTTTTGTTTTATTCCAGCTGGGAAACATTAATATTCAAATAATTTTTGAAGTTTCCTCTTCACAGGATATCAAAAGTTCCTCATTAAAAATTACATAAAATTATCATTCAGACCAAATATTATTGGATTATTGTAACCAACAAGACAAATTAAGGCATATCTCTGGATCCACTTACGATATCAGAATGATTCAGGTATCAAAGTGAAACTTTTAAAACCAGCAATCTGAAAATGTAATTAAGTCATTTTGACCAAATTTGACTTAGTCCTCATTTTGATATGATGGGTTACATTTATTTTAGTTGATTACTGGATTTATGGCTGCAGAATAATTGGACTATTTATCAAATTTTCAGTATTATGTCTTAATATTCTGAAGTTTTTAGATGGATTTCACATTAATTGAATTAAAAAATAAATACTTTTTGACCTATATGCTGCTACCTATTTGTTAATTTCTAGATTTATGTGTCCTTATGTGTCAATCTTCCTTTTATTTGGCTCAGCAGAAGTATACATTTGGTCCATGTTGATCCAAAATCAACACATAGCAATGGTGCCACCCCTGCATGGCTCAGTCCAGGTCACGTCTAATCCAGTAAAATATACCAGTGGTCTCATGCATCTTTCTGCTGTGATTCTTCTAGCAGGACGCAGCTTTCTCTGGCTCTGTTTTAACTTGTTTTTGTTGATAAAAAGAACAAAAGTATGAGCTCCATGCTTTCCATTGCTGGGTGTTGCACAAAATGACACCATACAAAGTGTTACTCCAGTTAATATTTCTTCAGTAGTTCAATGTTTCAGACAAGATMGAGCAACTGGGAGAGGAGGTGGGGTTCTGATATATGTAAAAGATGGCATCAAATGTGAACGTTTGTACTTTAAAGCTGCAAGTTCTCTGGAGTATGTGGCTGTTAAAGTTGTTTTGTCCCAGCTAACATCGTAGGCTGTTACAGACCTCCAAATGCCAATGACAATTTCTATGAACAACTAAATGATCTTATGAAAGAATGTAATGGCAAAGAAACAATCCTTATGAGGGATTTTAACCTTAACTGGGAGGATAAGTTGAGGAGGAAAAAGTTAAAAGCCATTATAGACAAATGCCACCTGGAACAACTGATAAAAGGTCCAACTAGAATAACAAAAAGTACAAGTACGCAATTAGATCTCGACCATTAATAAACCGGAGAGGGTGAAAAAAAAACTTATAATCTGATAACTGGACTGTCTGATCATAACCTAACATTGCTGGCAAGGAAACTAACTAAAAACGATTTCAAAATAGGACACAAAAGTTGTGTCACTCAAACAAGTTCTGTATACCAAAAAGCAAACAGGACATGTTAAATAATGCAATAGATTCTATGGAGTGGGATGATGTGTTGTCATCTGAAAATCTGGAACATAGTTAGTTATTTACAAATAAGGTTAATGCTGTTAGAGAGAAGTTCAGTGTAAATTTTCAGAAAATAATAAACACAAATCCAACCTTTCCTGGTTCAATGTACAATTATGGCAACTACTGAAAAGCAGAGACTCTGCATTAAAGAAGGCTACAAAAACCAAAAGAGACACAGTTGTTTTGATCTATAAAAGTCTAAGAAATAAAGTGATTAAAGAACTGAGGATAGCAAAATCACAATTTTATCTCCGATTAATAAATCAGGCTAAAGGCAATAGTAAATAAATTTGGTAAAGTATTAATATCTTGACAGGAAGAATGAAAAACCCTGCAACAGACATCATGCTTAGTGTCGATGGAAGGACAGTAGAAGATAAGGGCATCATTGCTTCTACTTTAATTTTTTTTATTCAGTCTGTTCAGGAGTTGGGACAGGGTTTTAAAGGTAAGGATCAGGAACAATTGATAATTACAAAAGAGGGCTTTAATTTGAATACAGTTACTGAACAGGAAGTCAAGAAAATAATTCAGTCTAAGAAATTCAAAAAGTAGAAATGTTTTTCATCTGGACAGTTTTTGTCAAACAGCATATGGATGTTTTAACTCTTCCTATTACACACATAATCTTTCTCACACACAGTTTCTTTCCAARTGACTGGAAACAAGCGGTTGTCATTCCYATTTTTAAATCTAGAAATAGTCATGATGTTAGCAACTATAGACCAGTGAGTATATTGCCGGTAATACCAAAAGTAGCAGAAAAAGTGGTCATAAAACAGCTAACAACCCATCTAAATGGCTGCAACCCAGTTTTAAGCCCTGTACAGTTTGGCTTCAGGAAACTATTCAACAGAAACAGCCACCTTACAGAGCAGATACGACTATAAAGGTGGAGTTGTTGGTGCTGTTTTCTTAGATTTGCATAAAGCTTTTGATACAGTTAATCACAATGTTCTCCTCTCCAAATTATCAAACTTTAATTTCTCATCTAAGATCTTTTCTTGGTTGGCACCATATCTATACAACAGAATGCAATGTGTTAAAACCAAAGTTGTACATTCCAGTTTCCTAGAATGCACAATGGGTGTACCACAAGGATTGGTGCTTGGACCCCTGCTTTTTAGTCTTCACATCAATGACCTTCCGAAGTTTTGTCATGATGTAGAAGTCCAGTTATATGCGGATGACACTGTTTTGTACACACATGCTAACGTGGCTCAACTTGCGGCTGAGAAATTAACCAAAGCTCTGGAGGGAGTGGTTGACTGGTGAAATCAATCAAAAAGTATGTTTTTCTCTAAGACTAAATTGGACACCTCAAATTTAAACATTTATATCAAGGGTAATCAAACTGATACTGTGACTGAGTTTAAGTATCTTGGAGGGTTTTTTTTGGATTCTAACCTCAGGTACAAGAAACATTTTAAAAAATGACACAAACTGTTAGATATAACTTGGTCAATTTTAGACATGTTAGATCTTACTTGTCATTGGAAGTGGCCAAGATATTAATGCATGCACTCCTTTTTTCACACATTTCATATTGTATTTCATGTTGGGGACAAGCCAATTTATCAGTAATAAAACCTGTAGAGTCTTGTTACAAACTGGCCGTCAAAATATTGGACAACAAGCCTTTAAGACACCATCATTGTCAGATTGTGCAGAAATATAACTTTTCCTTTGAGAATTTTAGAGTTTTCTCAAATATGGAAACAGTATATAAAAATTTAAATGGTTTAGCACCAATCTGTTTGCAACAATTTGTTTATTATCGTTCAGCTGTGTGTTTGCTCTTAACTAGAACACCCAGGCAGAACTGTGAAGTTCCTGCTCGACGATCAGCCTTAGGTCAAGCAACTTTTTCGGTTAAAGCCATCGCTCAGTGGAACGCTTCTCCTGATTGTGTAAAAACTTGTARTTCTTTTATTAGTTTTAAAAATAATCTTAAAAAATATCTTAAATCTACCCAAAGTTGCAATCATTGAATTGCACTGGGTAATCAATTTTAGAGTTCCTTCTGGTCGTGTGGGTTGGAGGGTGGGGTGGAGGTGGGCATGATTTTATGTTTGGAGAGTGAGGTGGGGTAATTGAAAAAAGTTTTATTTTATATTTTTATTTTTTCCCCTCTTTTATTTCTGTTTTACTGTTGGATGTTGTTTTGTTTTTACTGTTTGAAGGGACTAAAGATGTAAATGAGCCTTAGGCTAAATCTGGTGCAATGCATCAAATTATGTTTTAATTGCACGCTGCCCCAAACAAATTAAAATCATTCATTCATTCATGTGAGCCTCGAAGGTCTTTGCAATGACAACGGTGCCCACATATGCAAAAGCAATCAAGGCAGAGCCAGGGATGAACATGGTAGGGGCGATCAGGGCCAGGCCAGGGTGGACCGGACCTTGCAGTGCAAATACATCACAAGTTATCTATCTCTGAAGACAGATGGATGGAAGGCATCTCCAATCCCTTTTTTGCTTCACAATAGGAGAGAAAAGTGTCTGTGTTGCTTTCCTGTCATTATATCTGCCAGGTATTTCTTACATCTGTTTTTACTCATATTACTCTGAGTTTATGTCRGCCATGACGGAGGCAACATACAGAGTGGGTGCCCTTGTCGCTAAGTAAAGTTACAATGAATGCTCATGTTTCGTGTGATTGCGTGCATTTCCAGTCTGGCCTGTGTCATACCAGTTTCTAAATATGGACTATTGGTGTCGTCTTACTGTGTATTGCAACATTTCTGTGGCTAACACATTTTGTCATGAGAGCAAAGCAATCTTCCTTTTCATGAATCCTTTATTGCTCGATCTTGTCCTTAACATTTAACGTGTTTAATGTAAAAATGAAGCAGACAAAAGGATGAAAGTTGTTTAAATGCAAGAATGTATTTACAACAAAAAGGTTTTAAGGTGAGAAAATAGTTTTTTTTCTGTACAACAAACAGAAATGATTCATATTATTATGTACAGTGCATATTTTACCAAAAGAAAAATCTGAATATTGTTTCCAAATACTGAAACTCATTTCATTTACCCTTTGGGTCTGCTGCCTTTTATGACTTTCTTTTAAAGGATGGATAGTTTTTTTAACCCTTTTCCTTCAGTGCTTTCAGAGTGATGGTCAGTCCTCCAGCATCTCGGAGCTGAAACTCTTCCATCGTCTCGTCATGTGGCTGCTGAAGACCAGCAGTAGACTCCACACCGGCTTCAGGGTCTTCATTTTCCTCCTCTTCCTCAAAATCATCTGGGTACTCAACCTCCTCTGAAAGAGATAGCAAACATCTCTGTATATACACACTTTTTTATTATTATTTTCATCAAATTAGTGCATTTTAAACACAACCGATGTCATTATTTCTGAATTACTACACAGTATTTGCTGTGGAATATCTAAACAAAGGCGTAAACTTCTGGCTTATCAATTTGTGAATCAGACTCTAGCTTGAGCATGCAATGGTGGATGGACAGGTCTTCAGTTGTTGACATCTTTTAATTAATTTAAAGGGGAGATATTAAGCAAAATTCACTTTGTACATGTTTTTATGCATCAATTTGGGTCTGTACTGGTTCTAGAAACAGTTCAAGCACCCACTCTTTTCATTCTGGGTTTTTTTTTTTTTTTTTTTGGTAATGTGTGGTAATATGTAAATGTTTTGTTAGTGTCAGTAAATGAACTGTTTCAAAAACCTGCGGATTGTTACATCACAATCCAGGTAACCTAGCAATGCCAAGGCGAGCCCAGCCCCTCACCTGGTAACCCAAGTGGAGACTCCGCCCACTTCATTACAGAAAGACCACGTTTGTTCTGCTGTTTTGACAACAGTCACGGAGAACACAGACGCGCTGACTAATTTTATTTTTATAAAAATAATTTTTTACGAAGGACTCCTTTAAAAACTATTAACAATACACAGCACACAGTACAGAGTCACTCTATCTGCTTCCTAKATGGTAACTTTTACTGTGGTTGGATGAGACCTATGAATACATATTATTCTGAAACCCTATTGTTTAGTATGATCCATCACACCTTCACATGACATTAATCACGTCACACTCCAGCAGGACATAGCAGACGTGTGTTCTAGTTTGAAGACAACTGTGGCATAAAAGTGCATCCTCACTTTTTCAAGATTAACATTTTAATATAACTTTACAATTATGATCTTTCGAAAAACATTGTTTAGAGGAAGTCACCTCACAATAAATGTCATTTCTGACATTCTAACCGCTCACTTTTACTCACTATTTTCACTTTTATTACTTAAGTCCATTTTATGTTATTTTATGTCCGAATTTTACTTTTGACACATAAGTACAGTAAATGTCAGATGCTCATGCAAGTAATTTTATTAGAGAAGACTTTAGATTTTACCAAAGTAATTTTATAGTAAAACACTTGTACTTTTACTCAAGTATCACGTTAAGGTTACTTTATACAACACAATTCACATCAATCGGAGGGACTGAAAACCACTGCTGAGGTTCTACAAGCTACAAATCATAAAGTGGAGTGTTTCCACGCCTGTTTTTTACATTGTGTATTTGTTTAATAAATAACATGATGGTAGAACCGGTTGTGTTTTTCGTACAGTTTGGTAAAGACCAGAACAATTCTCTAAGTGGTTCCCAAAGTTGGGGTTGAGACCCTTTTGTGGGTCACAAAACATCAAGTGAGGGTCCCCATAATTTCCAGACATCAATTTAAATGCAAAAAAAGTATGATAATAAAAATGCTAATGGAATTTTTTTCACCATGCTTATTGCAATTTTTAAAACAATAATCATAAATGAAGACCATTAGGATCGTAGTTATTAAATATGTTTATATTGTTGTTATTCTCATGTTTAACAGAGTTATTAGCAAAGTTTTTATAAGTGAACAAGTAGCTTATAGCTAGGGTCGCGAGTATCTGCAACTGTTATTTTGTGGGCTGGAAGCAAAAAAGTTTGAAAACCACTGCTCTAGACTGAAAGAGGCTAGACTTTCTTTTCCCTGTGACTAAGCATGGTTTCAAAGTTTTGTCTAAATAGGTCCTGAAAGTAATCCTTGCTTTACTGTCATGTTTCTGAATGTGGATTTGCAATAAAACAAATGGCAGAACAGTTGTGACCAATTGACAACACATATATAACAAAATGTTTGAATTGGTAACTTCAAACATTAAAATGATAGTTTTATCTTTTAGTTTAGCTTTTGGATGACATGGGGTTGTACTGAACTTCTGAGCAATCAGTATCTTACCTGCCGTAGACAGCAGCCAGGCAGAAAGTCTCACCAGGGATTCGATTAACTGCTTAAAAAAGGCCCCAGTTAGGATTAAATTTCATCCAGCTAAAATAAATCAAACTTTTTCCAGCAGTTCAAATTAATGTTTTAATGTCATTTTTTTACACCATGTTACTTTTGCATCAGTATTTTACATTTATAGTTTTTGAAACTGTGTACACACAGTGGGTAAAATAAGTATTGAACACGTCAACATTTTTCTCAGTAAATATATTACTAGAGGTGCTAATGACGTGAAATTTTCACCAGATGTCGATAACAACCCAAGTGATCCATACATACAAAGAAATCAAACCATAAATGTCCAGAAATGAAGTTATTTGTAATAATGGAGTGGCACAGGAAAAAAGTATTGAACACAAGAAAGGGAGGTGTAAAAAGGCATGGAAAGCCAAGACATCAGCTGAACTCTAATTTTAGTAATTTTAAAGCAAGCCTGCCCCTTGTCTGTGCATGTTAATAATCAGCTGGTTCAATCCCAAATGATGGCCAGGTATCACACAAGAACCATCTGATGA